CATTTAATTTTTACAAATGGATTTTCATTCAAAGGCAGAATCAGAGAAGAATCTTTAAGTAGCTTAAAAATCACTGTCATCTAAATCTCTCCATCTTCTCTCACAACTCAAGGGAAAAGCCATCTATTATAAACTCAAGAAGCTTTAGAGAAACAGATTTTTCCCAAGAGAATCAATAATAAATGGTTTTATATCAGCTCTGGGTGCTAATACATTGTAAATAATGATTCACATTCATAAGTTATTATAAACAAAATGAAATATGCTACTAAACCTTACTTCTCTAATTCTGTTCATATTAAAAATGATGAAACATTCATATACACTCATATAGTTCTTGGTATATGAGTGTTTTCTTAGAATATATTTAAGGACCTACTTCCTTAAATATATTCTAAGAAAATTATTAAAAGAGAGGGAAATCTATGGGTGTAAAAAATATTCACTGCAATATGATTCACTACACTGGAAAAAAATGTCCAATCAACAGAAGTCTTCTGTGTTTTTTAAATTTACCTATATTTATTTTTACCCTGATTCATTCCTTCATTCCACAAAAGATTTGAGATAGCTTATAAAAATATATCACAACAATTCATTATGTATGTATAAAATGTAGATCAAAGAAAAAACATTTAAATATGCTAATAAGACAAGGTTCAAACCAGTCATTATGGTTGCATTTCTAAGTTTTGTTCTGTGTTTATGAGTAGCCAAGGTTAAAAAAAAAAGTGGTCATTAAATAATTCTCATTAGAGGAAAGGAGAAAGAATAGCTCCTCAGGGGAAGAGAATTGTTAAAAGCTGGCATACTTTCTAGATGATGGGTATAGGCAGACATTTTTAAAAACATAATTAGTGACTACATATACTCAATAATATAATAACTATGTATAGTGTCAGATGGGTATTAGACTTATTGGGGTGATCACTTCATAAGTTATATAAATGTCTACTAAACTACGTTGTACACCTGTAACTAATATAATACTGTATGTCAACTATAATTGAAAAGTAAATTTAAAAAATAATTAAAAGTCTACGGCCATGCCACCCTGAACGTGCCCAATCTCGTCTGATCTCGGAAGCTAAGCCAGGTCAAGCCTGGTTAGTACTTGGATGGTAGACTACCTAGGAATACCAGGTGCTGTAGGCGCTAAATAAAGAAGGAAGGAAGGAAGGGGAGAGAGAGAGAGAGAGAAAGAAAGAAAGAAAGAAAGAAAGAAAGAAAGAGGGGGAGGGAGAGATATTATATAATAAAGAAAATACTTATGATAATGTTAAAGATACAAAATTACATATACACTCTAACTAGTGATATAAAAACATGCTACATATGGAAAAAAGACTAGGAGGTCATACATATAACTCCCCCACCCCCTCAAAAGACTATGATTCCTTCGATTTCAACGACCATATCATATTCTTCTGTACCACAACCATACCTAGGCTGAATGCCAGGCACACAGTAGTAGTTTAATATTTTTAACTGTATTAAAAAGGTCTACATTTACTTGACTCATTTACGATTTGGCTTACAAGATAGAAATACTCAATAAACAACAAACTAAAGAATTACAAAGTATGTTCTGATAAAGAACCCATTACTGCCACACTATGAATGGCAAGATTGATTGTAGACTTCTTACATAGTTAAAAAGCAGCAACAGATCTTTCTTAATCCATGACTTCCTTATTCCTCTCTACATATATTTCAGATTCTTCCTTAAGGCTTACAAGATGTTAACTAACAGTGTTATTGTTACTCCCAGATAAGAAATAATACACAGCATTTTAAAATATGCTTTATTCGTGTTAGAAAAAACAAAAATAATTCTTATGTAGCTTGAATTTTGAAAAGAAGCAACCAGAAATTACCAAAATCAAACATGACTACAAAACTGTAACAAAATTTTTGTGGACTCAACTTTTTAATACTGTGAAATCATATGACACCCTGACTGACTCCATATTACCGAAAGCTGTAAAGTACGTCCTTTAATGCACTTTCTATTTCTTGACTTTTTCTTGTTTCCTAAGTAGCAAGTAACTACAACCAAAATTTCCCCTTTTAACATAGGAAGCAGTATTCAAAGCAGAACTTGGACTTTTATTGTGGCTACTTTTTAAAAGGAATCTGTGCCCTAAAACATACGTCAGAATTGACAGTCTTAAAATTAAAGACTCTAACATATTATATAAATGTGGAAATTAGACAAGATACTGTTATCATATAGCACTGAACGAATGGCACTAAACAAAAAATTTCATCCTTCCCTCTAGGTATCATCGCCATCCATTTTTGTGGCCTTAAATAAGTGCTTATTTAAAACCGGATGTTAGGAACACAAAAAATACACTTAGAACATTTTAAAAGTTTTAAAAATAGGGTAAGTTACAGTAATTTTAACAAAAATCACTGTATGTGCTTCAAAAAAACAAAATAGAATATTAAATAGTCCAGATATTCTGTTTCCTAGTACACAAAAAAGAATCAATACACTGTCACAAACCCATTTAAACGTTTTCATCTTTTAAAAAAGATATTCCCTGTCCTGGTTTTCCAACAGGATAGGACATTGATGAAAATTAAGGATTACCTCCTACCATCACCTTTTTAAAAAATAATGGGCTTTGATGCATAATTGGAGATTTGGGGAAGGAAAGGCTAAGGAAGTAAAATGAAAAAATGTTCAAAACTGTTTCTTTCCAAAATATTTTTCAGATGTTTAAATGTGGTAAAATAAAGACTTGAAAGAAAAATTTAAGATATACTTAGATTTCATATTATACTCACTTAAGGCTTAGAGAAAAATTAAAGTGAGAAGAAAACAATTAGATGGAAAAGAGTATAAGACTCCAAGGTATCAAAGAAGAAGGGAATAAGTCCCAAGGCATTCATAAAAGAAGGCTCGCTATAGCCTCAGTTCATGGACCAAGAGATTCAGTGTTATCAGCTTTGGGTATCTCAATGGTCAATTTTGATAACTACGGTTATAAGTTCTTTAACTATTACTTAGACACCAAGATTTATTTCAAAACGAGATATGAGACTCCCAGAGGGAGATATTAATGACAAAAATAAGGTTTTCAGGACAAATTTAGTTCAAGACCATATCTAATACTTGGTGAAGAATTTCCTCATCCCTTCCCTAGAGAATTATCAATTATTTTTAAAAGATGCCTATTTTTAAAAATTACTTTGAATTAAAATAGAAAACAGTAATCAGTACTTTTGAGAGAGGAATGAGAATGGATACCACACAACACGACAATTCCAAAAAAGGTGAGTATGATTCACTGGACTAAATAACAAATCTTAATTAAGAGACTACTATATTTTATTTACATTTCCTAGAAAGGAAGAGAGAGTAGGTCTTTAAATTTTTCATAATAAAAAAGATAAAGTGTATGTGAAAAAAATTAATAATTCATTCCATTCAGTCATTTTGTGAAAAAAGCAGCATCACTTTTGAATGTAAGGGAGATGCTTGAATACATTGTAATATCTCCCTTATCAGAGAAGCAGATTACTTAATGAATAAAAGGATTCTAGACAAGGAGTGCCTAAGTCAAAAGAAAATTTTCCCATACAAAACTTGGTGCTCTTCAGAAATCGAGAAGAAAATTTAATAGAGAAAACAATGAGAGGTTGGTTCTGTCAACTGTGCCTTTAGCATTTGGTTCTAAAATACTACATAATACCTGATATGAAAACGTAATCAAGTTAAGATTAAAATATCTCTAATAGCTAATTTTTCTTCTTCTTTGAATAGAGAATACTCTACTCTTGAAATATACCAGAAGCTTGTAACTGCCACTAGATGAGTGGTACTCAGTAATGTGCTTCCAGCAATGTATTTGTTAGTGTATGCACTGTGGAGTCTATCATACAGCTCTCTAAGACCTCAAATTCCTATGAGTGAAATCGCAGAAATCACTCAATGTATCCAGTGTTAACAAAGGAAGGGTACAGCACTCTAGGTACCTGCAAACCTAAAAGTAAAAGACATGACACGTGGTTCATTCTGTCTTACTCTAGTTGGCTTCTATTATCAAACATCAAATATTGGCTCCCTTCTATGACATCTAATGAACAGCCACGTGAGTTCTCCTTGAATTTTAGAACACCTGAATTCCAGATTCTAGAATTAATTCTATTAGGCTCTTCTGGAGTCCTAGAAGTAGTCAGTTATCACACACACACTCCAAGCCTGGTAGTGAAGGTTATCCATCATGAATGACAATCCTTTAACAGCAGGTGTCACTATATAGCCTTAATGGGTGATGTGGGAAGGGTAACTGCTGGCCATCTCTTGCTCTCTAAAATTCTGAAAGTCTACAATGCTGAGAGGGAAAACTGGAGAGCACTCTGCCTGACTGAATTGAACATGAAAATAGGCCAGGAAGTTTCTCTCCATTAGGTCCACTTTCATTAGCCAAAAAGGGGAAATCATCTTTGGAGTTTCAAACAGTAATTATTTTAAAATCACAAATAATAAATGATTCTGAAAAAAGGATGTTCTGTTCCCCTAAATGCCCTGTTTTCCACTAGAAAGGAAAGAAAAACAGAATTTAGTAATTTTTTTATACATACTTCAAAAAGCTAGAGTTTCTCTTACATTTTTAAACTTTAAAACAATATAGAAACCAATGGAATTTTGCATACTTTATCAAAATTAGAAGAAATGATCCACATGCATACACTCCAGAATCCTGCATAATGGTAAGAGCATAACGTTAACTACAAACAAAGGCCGAAAGCAAAATTGAAGAATAGAATCTTATAGGTATTTTTGATTTAGTTATTTCTGCAGATATGGATACCACATGAAAATGGGAACAAAAAAGAACTAAACCTAGATCCCAGGTCTCACTCTTGAGTCTGGGATGACAATGTCAAGCATATATTTGGAACCCTAGTCAAATGTCAGGATGAGTCACTGCACTATTAGAGCCCACTGCTTAGTGTGTACTTAGAGGAGAGGTATTTTTACTTACTCTGGTCAGCATAGTTTTTTGCTTTGAGTTCAAGTTGTCTTGTTTGAGATTCTAAAGATTCCACTCGGGTCTGTAAATCCTTTTTTTCCTGTTCTTGAGAGTCTTCAAATTCAATGAATTTCTAATAAAGAAGAAATACATGTTATTTTCATTAGAGAAATGAAATCTTTTTAACACTATCAACTCCTGAGTTTCTTGGTATCAAGAATCACAATTCTGTATTAACTATTCAAAAAGATCTCAGAATGACAAATTTAGGTTGATTTTAGTTTCTCCATAAAAATTAAGTTTTAAAACTTCCAAATGTAGAAGGAAAAAGATGACAAAATAATTTATGGAAGTGTTTCCATTTCATATAACGGGCATTACAAAGAAATACATATCTTACTCCAAATATATAAATTCTTTAACACTAGTATACTTGCATATTCATCTGATTTCAGGACAATTTTTTTATATATTCTGCACATAACATGTATAACAAATAGAGAACTAAAGAATAATGGAATTCTGATAAATATTTGTTAAACGATTATTTGATTAACAGCAGTTTTCTAGATTACCTGAACCATGGAATTTAAATTCCTAGGAAAAAGTGCATGAACTATCTCCACCAATCAAATTTAATTTACTAAAACTGTTCTCATCAAAGAGATTATCACTGAAACCAATCAGCAAATCTCAATCCTTATCTTAATCAGCATCATTTGACAATGATCACTCACTCCTCCTTAAAACTTTTTTTTTACATTTGACTTCCAAGACTTTTTCTTGTTTTCTTCTATATTTTTCTTGGTCTTTATTGGTCCTTCCTCTTCTCAACTTCTTAACAATGGCAAACTCTGTCCCTTAGACAACTTTTCCTTTTCATTATTACTCTTATTCTCTGATGATCTCATCCAGTTTCATGGCTTTAAATACTAACTTTATGATGACAACCCCAAATTTCTAGCCCAATCTCTAGCCCAGACCTGAATTCCAGATTTGAATGTCCAACTGGACAATTTTATTTGAATGTCTAACAACCATCTTAAACTTAACATGTCAACACTTGCTCCTCCTGATCTCACCTAGGTCATTAAATAACTGTGGTCAATTGCTCAGACCCAAAACTTTGGACTCAGCTTTGACTCTTCTTTTTCTCTAATACCTCATATCCAATCTATCTTCAGGTCCAACCACTTTTCCTCATCTCTACCACCACCTTGGTCTGTGCCACCATTATCTATGGCCTAGATTAATTCAATAGCAATAGCTTCCTAACTGGTTTCCTTATTTCCGCACCTGCCCTTCCTTCTACAATGCATTCTTAAATGCAATTGTTAGGGCAGCCCTTTAAAAAGTAAGATCAGTTTACCCCTCTGCTCAAAATCTTCTGATTGCTTACATTCTCCCAAAGTCCTTAGGACAGCTTCCCAGGACCCACGCAATCTACCACTCTCTTCTTTGATATCATCCTCTTAATACTCTTCCTCATCCTCTCCCCGACTCCTTCGCATACTCTGATTCAAGCCTCCCTGCAGTTCCTCTGGCCATCTAAATGGCTCACTCCCTCCTCATATCCTTAAAAGTCTTTGTGTGTCACCTTCTTACTAAGGCTTTCCTTGCCCACTGTATCTAAAACTGTACTACCCATTACCGACCTCTCTCCCTGTTTTTTTTTCTCTCTACAGCACTCATCCTCATCTAACATACTATGTATTTCAGTAATTTATCTTACTTACCTGCCTTTCCTCACTAGAATGCAGGCTCCATGAGGGCAGAGATTTTTGGTTTTGTTTGCTGTGGTATTACCAGTGCAAAGAAAAATGGTGGCACAGAGCAGGTGTTCAAATATTTGTTAAACAAATGAATAAACATGAAAAAAACTTTCAGAGTAAAAATCTGGTACCCATATAGAAAAACATAGAGTTCACAAAAAAACTTAGAGAGCACTAAATACATCCTAATTTTAATTTTTTTGTCTATTACATACTCTATCTGTCCCGAAATATTTCAAGCACTGGAGGTGCACATTGTTTGTCTGCAAACATTGCCTTCCTCTGAGGAATTTCTCTTCCCCAGTTTCATGATAACTCTATTTAACCCATGCAAATCAACTGGTGAGGACTCCATCTCCCAAAGGTGAGCACATGACTTGAACCAGACCAGTCAGAGTCCTCTCTGGAACATCTACCAATTATTAGAGAGACTGCTACTCTCTTCTACTGAAATCACAAACTCCAAGAACCTAGAAGGCTTAAATTGCGGACAGACATCTTTTTCCAACAAATGGAAAGAACGTGCCTGAAAACAAAGCCAATATAAAAGGAAACAAAGAGCAAAGGGGAATAAAACCCTAATTAATGATACAATTTGAGTCCTAGATTCAATAGTAGTTCCTGGAGCCAGCATTCCCAGTTGTTTTTGTTTATTTTTTCAGTTACATAAACCAATAAATTCCTATTTTACATAAGCTGGTTTGAGTTGGTTTCTATCATAAGAAACTACAAGTATCATAATATATCTTCTACATTCCCTCAAGAGCCATATGATTTCCTTATGTCTTAGCCAATGTTTTTCTTATCTATGAAGCTAGAACCTACAACTTCTGAAACACTGGTTCTTTTTTTAAATTAAATTTATTGTGATAACACTGGTTAATATCATTATACAAATTTCAGGTGTACAACTTTATAACATCTGTACACTCTATTTTGTGTTCACCACCCAAAGTCTAGTCCATCACCATATATTTGACCCTCTTTATCCTCCCGCTATCCTGCTTCCCCTCCAGTAACCACCATTCTGTTGTCTATATCTACAGAGCTTAAGGGTCTTGTTTGTGTTTTGTTTATTTCTTTTGTTTTCTATCCCACATGACTGAAATCACAAGGTTCTTGTCCTTTTCATCTGACTTATTTCACTTAGCATAATATTCTTTAAGATCAATCTGTTAGGTAGTTAAGCAGGTATGAGAGACAGGAGCGACTCCTGTGGCTCATACCTGCTTAACTACCTAACAGATTGATCTTAAAGAGTAAAGGGCCCAGCTCTGTAACAATAGAAACCTCCCTTGCCGACCTTCCTTAAAGATCGCTCAGAAATGTCTCACCTTTCAGGGTTATCAATTATCCCAAATCCAAAGGTAAGAAGGCCATGAAAGCTGCTAGCTTAAATCAGCCACAAATGCGTGCGCAAAAAGTACTACCCCAACCTGCCCACAACCTCAACCTCATTATACCATCATTATAATATCACACCCATGCCCGGAAATTTATGAATCTTACTTATTATAACAGACTATTAAGATTTACAAACTTGCAAACTGGGCAAATTCTTAAAACAAATATTTTATTCGGGTAAGCACATGCACAGTAGGCAAACGGCTATATAGCAGCCAACTGTCAGTCAAAATGACCTCACATATGGATCATCTAGTTTGGCCCTTAAACCCTCCCATCATGGCCCAAATAAAAACAGACCTTCTCACTTCTGCATTGTTACAGCTCTCTTCACTGAAACCTGCTCTCCCCTTAGAGCATACTTTGTTTTTCTCTCTTTTCTTTTCACTTCCCAGATTCCACAGGGCTGTAGCCTTCCTTAGCATGGAAGGACTAAAGGGGTTCCTTCCATTTCCTTCTAAAAATGTACTTTCAATAAATCTTATTACTTTTTCTAAATCTCACTGACCTGTAATTTTTTACTGCATCGCTGGGGAAGAACCAAAGACCGCCTCCATGAAGCTGGGGCAACACAGAAGTTCAGATCATCCCAGCGGTAACAAATCCATGTTGTCGCAAATGGCAACATTTCATCTTTTTATGACTGAGTGGTATTCCATTGTATAAATGGACATCTTTATCCAATCATCCACCAAAGGATACTTAGAAACATTGGTTCTCAATCTTTTGGGGATCCACAGACCCATTTGGGAATTTGATAGTCCATGAACTATGTTTCCCCAGAAAAAATGCCCACACCCAACTCAAATTCTACCTATTTTTCTCAGGAGCTCAGGAACCCCTTTAGTCCTTCCACAAACCTGCCCTATACTTTTTTATGAAGATATTTCATATTTGTGAGGCTCTTAGAAGCCTCAAATAGCCATTGTGTATTTTTCCAGAATATTAATCTAAAATTACTATATGTAGGAGTAAAGGTTATGATAAATATAAGAAAAGAGGTAACCTTGACAAATCTTTTGAACAAATCTTTTATTCATTCAAGAAATGCCTGTGGCTACTTGCGATGTGCCAGGAAGTGGAACATGACTGTAAGCACAGCACTATCCCTGTCTTCCAAGGGTAGTCACTGGCTACAAACTAAGAAATAATAAGAAAATGTAATTTTTTTTGTCTTGCTTTGAAAATGATCCCGTGGCTAACTAAACTACTATATCTGGGTAAGTAACTAGAAATTCTTATTTTAAGCTTCTGTTGTGTTATGAATAAAATGTTTTAAAGAACATACAGCAGATGTTTACCAAATGACAGTTAAAATACAGTGTGACTAAACCAACAAAAAACTTTACCACTAACAGGGGTAAGGTGTGGGGATGGGGGAAATGGGTGAAAGTGATCTAAGAGTACAAATTTGCAGTTATAAAATCAGTAAGTTCTAGGGATGTAAAGTACAGCAGCATGGTGACTATAGTTAACAATATTACTGTACAGTATATTTGAAAGTTGTTAAGACAATAGATTTTAAAAGTTCTCGCTACAAAAAAAAATTTTTGTAACTATGTGAAGTGATGGATGTGTTAACTAACCTTATTTGGTGATAATTTGCATTATATACATATATCAAATCATTACACTGCACACTTTAAACTCACACAATGTTATATGTCAATTATTTCTCAATAAACCTGGGTCGGGGGGAACAACTTTACCACTATTCTGCCTATTCAGAACTCCCTTCTAACTGAGAGAAGAAATATCATATGGACACACAGCTTCATGTCTACTTTGTTTCTTGGCAACCCAGTTTGGCTACAAAAGGGCATGAATAATCTATAACTTTTTAGCAGTCACTACTATTATGTTTATAATCATTACTTGGACCTATCTAGATGATTCAAGCTTCAGAATTTTTCACATTTTATCACAACTACTGGGGCCTCAATATCTATATTATCTT